TTTGAATAACTCAAAAAAACACCACATCTTCTCAGATCGAAACCCTAGGAATGGTTCTAGACAACTGATTCTATTAGGAAACAAACACTCCACCAGGACATATAGAGAGACCATAAATGTTCAGAAATGAGCAGGCAAGAGAACCATTTAAAAGGGCAAGGGAAAATTCTAAGGGAAAGGGATCTATAAAAAAAATTAGTTCATTGGGGCTGGCTGGAGAGATGGTTCAGTGGTTAAGAGCACTGGATGCTCTTGCAGGGGACCAGCATTTGGTTCCCAACTCCCACATGGCAGCTTACAACTGTCTGTAACTCCAGTTTCAGGGGATCTAACACCCTCTTCTGGCCTCTGTAGGGACTGTATGACGTGTGCACTTACATACATGCAGGTAAAACACTCAAACACATATAATAAAAAGAAAATAAATTTTAGGGCTTGGACAGATGGCTCAGAGGTTAAAAGCACTGGCTGCTCTTACAGAGCACCTGGGTTCAATTCCTAGCACCCACATGGTGACTAACAACCATCCGTAACTCTAGTTCCAGGGGACTCCAATGCCCTCTTCTGACCTCCATGGGCATTGCATGATATGGGTGCATTTACATATAGGCAGGAAATACACTCTTATACATAAAATAAAAATACTATTAAAAAGAATAAAAGAAATTTTGAAAGTTCATTTTACTGAAGTTAAAGGAAGTTACAGTCACACTGCTATATAATGTTAAGTCTATTACAAAGATATCAGCATTGCTTTCCACCTACTGGAAGAGTCAATCAAAAAGACATGGTATGTTTAAAAGAGGTATGTTTAAAACTGGTATTTTAGTTTTACGAATGAATGCATATTCACTGCTACACTGAAACGCAAAAGCTGGGGCTGGAGAGACGGCTCAGCAGTTAAAAGCACTGATTATTGCAGAGGACCTGGGTTTGATTCTCAGCACCCACATGGTGGCTACCAATGATCTGTAATTCCAGTTCTAGGGGATTCAATACATGACAAGGGTGCATTTATACACATACAGGCAATCATACACATAAATTAAAAATAATAAATTAAAAATAAAATGCAAAAGCTATGCCAAGTTTTACAACTATTAATGTTCTTGCAAAAATATTTATTTTCTTACCCTACAGTGGTCTAGTCTATCATCAATATGAATTGGGGGTGGGTAAGAACAGACACCATTAATTATGTACAATATTTCAACAGGAATCAAATAGAATACAACTAAGTATAGTTGTAAAACAGTAGTTCAGTTAAAGTCTAAACCACTTAAATAACATCCAAACCCTTAAAGTGATTTCTATATAAACACGAATGGTATAAGACTCAGTATTCATTTGCATTCAAATCAGATCCCCCATAGTGATCTACTCACTATGTAGACCAGAAACTCAGAGACTCACCTACTTCTTCCTCCTGAGTGCTGGTGGGATTAAAGGAGAACACCACCATATCCTACCAATTATCTATCTGTGCCTTAACTACGAGGGTGGGGGGTGAATCCTAATAGGTCAACTAAGGTCTTACACAATTCACAAAATCGGGCTTATTATGCATGCCTATAATCACAGCACTCATGAGGCTGAGGCAGGAGTTCAAGGTCAGTTTGGGTACACAGTCAAACCATGTCTTAAAAACTTTTAAAAAGCCGGGCGTGGTGGTAAACGCCTTTAATCCCAGCACTTGGGAGGCAGAGGCAGGCAGATCTTTGTGAGTTTGAGGCCAGCCTGGTCTACATAGTGAGTTCCAAGACAGCTGGGGCTACAGGGAGACCCTGTCTCAAAAAGACCCCCCCCCAAAAAAAGCATTCAATTATGAATAGTTAGCTACTTAAAAGCATTTCTGAGATCAAATACACAAGGCACCCCCCCCATCCTTTTCTATCACAATACCTAATGCAAAAGATTGTGAGGAGCCACCTTTCTCTTGCCCATAACTGATATGCAAATATTTTAACATATTCAGGCAGTTATAATAAAACAATTAAGGATTTATAAGCTATAATATCATTGTAAATTTTATTAAAAACATAAATATCAATGTCCTCAGTTACTGAAAATGAACCTTTAAACCTAGCCTTGACAGAAAAGACGATTATATATTAAAGCTTCTCAGTTCAAAATCTCAAGATCCAAATGCCAGAATTGTCTGTCTACATCTTAAAGAAGCCAGTTTACTCAGAGATGCATGTTCCATGGTGTTACAGAAAAACTAATTTAACCATTTTCACAAAGGTTTACATCTATGCTCTAAGCCAGGGAGGGGAAAGGAGGAAGAAGAATGGAGGGAGGGGACAGGAGGGAATGAAGGAAAGGAAACAGCTGGAAGGAGGAAGGACAGGAAGGAAGGGAAAACGAAAGAAACAGAATCTAAGATTGACTAATAACATTTAACTTTCACTGCCAAAAATGTTTTAAGTCAGGTAAAGCTTGGAACTCTGAGTTCTATCATCTGCTCTGCTTATACCATTTTCCTCTCTTAGCACAAAGTCATTTGTTTTAATCAATTTTTATTAGTATATATGAAAGTTCAAATGACAGAAACTAAAAATACATGCACTTAGAAACCAATTGTTTTTACAAAACTAAAATTTTGTGGTTACAAATTTAGCTGGGTGTGGTGGTGCACGCCTTTAATCCCAGCACCAGGGGCAGAGGCAGGCAGATCTCTATGAGTTTGAGGCCAGCCCGGTCTACAAAGTGAGTTCCAGGCCACTTGGGGCTACAGGAAGACCCTTTCTCAAAAAAGACAAAACAAAACCCCCACAAATTTAGAGATTAAAACTAATACAAATGTGTAACAGAAGCAATGAGGAAGGAAAGCAGTTGGCCATTATAGAACCCTATAGTTACAAGAAAATTTGATATAAGGGTTCTGTGTTTAATTTACATACTTAAAGATTAAAACCACATAGGTAAGAAAGCTACAGCATTAAAAAATAAATAAGTAAATGGCCTATGTAATAAAAACAGTCATACCTAAATCT